ATGGCATGGCATGGCATGGCATGGCATGTCAAGGCATGGCGTGGCATGGCATGGCATGGCATGGCATGGCATGGCATGTCATGTCATGTCATGTCATGTCAAGGCATGTCATGGCATGGCATGTCATGTCATGGCATGTCATGTCATGGCATGTCAATGCATGGCATATCATGTCATGGCATGTCATGGCATGGCATGGCATGGCATGGCATGGCATGTCATGTCATGTCATGTCATGTCATGTCAAGGCATGTCATGGCATGGCATGGCATGGCATGTCATGGCATGTCATGGCATGTCATGTCATGTCAAGGCATGTCATGGCATGTCATGGCATGGCATGGCATGGCATGGCATGGCATGTCATGGCATGTCATGGCATGGCATGGCATGTCATGGCATGTCATGTCATATCAAGGCATGTCATGGCATGTCATGTCATGGCATGGCATGGCATGTCATGGCATGTCATGGCATGTCATGGCATGGCATGGCATGGCATGGCATGTCATGGCATGGCATGGCATGTCATGTCATGTCAAGGCATGTCATGGCATGTCATGGCATGGCATGGCATGGCATGGCATGGCATGGCATGTCATGTCATGGCATGGCATGGCATGGCATGGGACGTCATGGCATGTCATGCACCACACACCTGAAGAAGAATCCGGGGTTCAACACTGGTGGGTTGCGGGCGTCCTCGGTCTCCGGGTCGCCAGTCAGTATCTTGAGTGCCTTGATGTTGTTTTCGGCATTGTCCGTCGTGATGCCCAGCACAGAGTCCTTCAGCCCCAATCCAGTATGACTTTCTCCAATGTCTCTGCAATTAGCACCCCGGTGTGCGATCCCTGAATCTCCTCAAACTCTAGCAGCGCCTGACGCAGCTGAAAGTCTGTCGTGATCCAGTGCGCTGTGACGGCAAGGAAAGCATCTTGCGCCGGGCTGGACCAAATGTCCGTGGTGAGGGAGACCTTCCTGCCGCACCAATCGCCGACAATGTCCTGCAGCTGGCGCTCACGCGCGGCTTCGCTCTGCACGAGCATGTCGCGAGCGAGGCGGAAACGGGAGCCGAGCATTTCTGCAGCGGGAGGATTGAGGAGGCGGGTGTAGCGGCGGAACTGGGGAAGGGAGGGCAGGGGAGGGGGAGGGGGGAGTAGGTGGACGTGTGCAGAAGTGCCGCTATACATGGTCGGGGTGGTAATCCATAACGACACGTGGGAGGTTGAAAATGCGCAGATGTGAACGAGCGCATGTGCTTAGAAACTTGTCTCTGTCAGTTCTTACCGAGGGGCGGTCGACCAGGCGAAACGGAAGGGCCGCGTCTGCGAACAGCTCGATGAGAGCGTGGCGCAGACGCTCCTGCGTGACGTGACGACCGAAGAACTGAGGGATCTGCCGTTGACCCGCATCGACACTCGCACCCGAACCGCCCGTGCCCGCACTCTGGAGGTCGGGGTATGCGTCAGCGTGCTCCCACGGGTCTGGTCCGCCTGGAACCCCCGGGTACCCCTTCGCCGGAAACTCCAACCCCGGCTGCTTGTTGGGATCAGTGAATAGGCGATACCAGATCTGTAGGTGAGGCATGTGGAACGAGCGCATGTGCTTCCACGCCGAACCAGTGCTGCTCTCACCCCAACCGATCGGCACCTCGCATACCTTGCAGCATCGCGCCCCATCCTCCCCCTCTGGCTGAAAGAACATCCCCTGCATAAGCCCAGGGACAGTACCCCAATAACCGACTGTCACCTGAGAGCTGTCGCTCGCTCGCGACCGCTTATGCTGTCCACCCGTGCCCCCTCCCCCCCCACGTGGGATGACAGGCCGCCCCGGCGCAGGCGTACCACACTCCGCATGACCCCCCTCCCCCACGCCCTCAGCATCCCCAAAGCGCGCTGCATCCCCACCACCGACCTCCAGCTCCCCCGCACTATTACTGCCACTGCCGGCACCAATCGCCCCTGCCCTCCCCCACCAGGTCCACCACGGCCGCGACCTCTTCCCCTCCCTCTCCCCCTTCCCCTGCCCCTCCCCTCGCCCTCCCCCTCCCCCTTCCCCTCCCCCTTCCCCTCCCCCTCCCCTTGTCCGGTCCATCTCCTGACACCTCATCCACCTCTTCCTCCGCATTGGGATGCCACTCCTGGTCACCCTCGCCCCCCCCCCCCCCCTCCACCACCCTGCCCACCGTTCCCCCCCCCATGGGTTGCCCCATGCTCCCCCCCTCCTGCATCGCCCGCCTCCACCTCTTCCAGGAAGTCATCGTCCTCTCCCCCCTCATCCGCACGGACACCGCTCGCCAATGCAAAACTCTGGCGGCCGCTAGGGAGAGGGAGGCCTGTCAGAGATGCTCCAGGAATGGCACCGCTCTGGAGCCCGCCACCCTCAACCCTCCCGCCCCCGAAAGGGACGGGACGCCCGTCACCGTCGTAGAATTGCATGATGGGACAGTTCCGAACCCTAAACTATTCGCTACGGCAAGGATTTCGAGTGGGCGAATAGTTCGTGTAACTCTAGATCTCCAAAACCCTAACTCCCACACGCAACCAAGTTCTCCCCCCCGTTTTGTGTTACCTAAACCCTAAGTAACGTTGGGAGAACACGTTTAGGATGCGGGGAGTGTTTAGACTAATGCGGGTGCTGTATTAAGGTGGCGCATCTATGGTAGGGACGAAACGAAACTAGATCTGGAAAGTTGGGTTGGAAATTTCGACCAAATGGTCGAAATTTCCAACCCCCCGCAATTTAGGTCGCGCTGCTGCCGACGGGTAGCAGCGCGACCCGATTTCGGGTCGGGTATACCCGACCCGACTTCGGGTACTTACCCGAACTCGGGTATGTAATACCCGACCCGGCGGGTACCCGCTACCCGCGTCGTCGGGTAGAAATTCGGGTAGCGGGTATCAAATACCCGCCCGGGTAACCCGGACCCGACCCGCCGGGTATTTTACAGGATTTCAAATACCCGACCCGCCCTAAAAGCGGGTCCGGGTACCGGGTACCCGACCCGGTCGGGTAGTTTGCTCAACCCTAAACCAAACCCCCCCCCCCCCCCCCCCCTCCCCCCCCCCATCCCCCGGGCGAGGAATACTTGCCTCGCTGGGAAAAGTGGCGTCCTGTGAGGGTCAAAATTATCACGAGGAAAAACATTCCTCAACTAAAAACCCTGAGGAAAGGTTCGAGTCCTCGACGAGTCGAGGCGAGGAATCCTTGCCGAGGATATTCCGGAAAAACCTCTCCTCGAAACTCGAAATTCCGAGGCGAGGATTTCCTCGCCTCTTTGCTCATGTCTACTTGTCAGCCGCCCCACCTACTTCAACAGTGCTGTTTACAGCCTGCAGGTCGGGCGTAAATCCTGCATGTTCTCTTCCCTGTCACCAATTGGCGCTTGATGAATTCATCGTGGCCCGTGACCGCGCAGGTGCCGCTCATCCTACCTTCGACTGGCTTGTCAGGATGTGCCATAAGAGCTCCTCCTTGAGCCACAATCTCCACACTGCCCGGGCTCAAGTGTTCACGTCTCACGTGTTCATGTCTCAAGTGTTCACGTCTCACGTGTTCATGTCTCAAGCGGTCCGTTTATTGTTTGGGAAAACTGAGTACAGGCTAGGCAAGCAAGGGGCAGCAAGTCAAGGTACGTGCACGGTTAAGGGCTCGAATCTACTCGAGCTCCCCGAGGGGCTCTGCTATGGCAAAGCAGTCCCCAGGGGCCATGTCGGCGTCATGGGTGCCCACTGGGGTGTGGGGGGCAGGGGAGGCTTCATTAACTTTGCCCAGGTAAGCCAAGGCCTGTGCCCGTTGCAGCGTCACTGACCAGCGTTGGCGGAACTGGTGGAGCAGTTTCGCTGCCTGGTAGGAGCTGGGGTCCGCATTGAAAAGTCTCCTGGCCCCTGTGTCAGCCAGTAGCTTCAGGAAGGTAGGGACCTCGGCGCAGGGGCAGCCGTATGTCTCGACTGCAAGTGGGAAAAATCCGACATACGGAGCCCGATTTCGGTAATGGGAGATTTTCTTGTCGGCTTGCTCCCGGGCCATGTATCCGCGTCCTTTTCTAGCGTCCGGGTCCCGGCTGCTGATGGGATCTGTGACAGTGACGTCACAGATCCAGACGGCTCCGGAACTGCGGTCTCGGAGGGCGAGGTCGGCCTTGTGGCCGTCAACGGGGCTGTAGATGGTGGTCTCCTTGGTGACTATAAAGTCAGCATCTCGGGCCATCCGTATGCTCTCGTCCCGTAGAGCATTATGGGTGTCCGTCCGTCCGTGCCCGGTGCCACACCGAAGCAGGTGGTTGGGCAGCCTGGTGTCGAGGATTTCGAATTCCTCGGCGCAGTTGCAAGTGCGGGGGGCTGGGAATGGAAGGCCGAGGCGGAAGGCCAGGGCAATGGCGAAGTGTGGAGCTTCGAGGCGGAGGGATGGGAAGATGGGGATGGCATGAAGCCAGTCCCCTGCTCCATATCCAGCCAGGGAAAAGAGGCGTTGGGTGTGCCCAGAGAGTGGGTTTGGGTCCATTGTCCGCGTGGCTGCCACCTGGCCGGCGTATCGCACGGCCTGGACTTCGAGGGATAAGCGGTGTTGGAGTGGGGAGCCGGAGGGTTCTGTCCTCTCGGAGTGCAGGAGCTCCCGGGCTCGTGGGGGCATCGCCGTTTCACACTTCGCCAGCCAGGTATGCAAGTGGGTGGGGCTGGTGAAAGGTGGCGTGAGGTGCCGGACAGCGTCGGCCAGGGGCCCTCCTGACGCTGCTGGGAGGTCAGCCAAGAGGCCCTGGGCTTGGGTGAGGCTGGTGAGGTAGGCTGGGTATCCCTCAATTGCGGGGTCGGTTAGACCCAGTCCGCCAAGAGAGGGAGGGAGGGACGCTTGATCCCAAGTGCGCGCTCGCTCCACCTCGCCCCGAGGTGGTTGGAGGTTGCAGGCACGCAGGAGGGTATAGAAGAGCTCCCGACCCCAGTCGGACCAGACGTCCAGGGGTAGGAAGTCAAGGGGGGTGGTGCGGATTAAGTATGAGACACGCCGAGATACGCAGCGTGTGAGGAGGAGGGATGAGGACTGAGGGTCCATGGTGGCCAGTGTGGCGAGGGGTTCGGCTAGCAGGGCTAGCTGGGTGCGGAGGAATGCGGCTGTGCCCTCGGCTGTGCCTATAAAGCTGCCAAGCACGCGGACGCCTTCTGTGTTGAAAGGTATGCCTGGGGGAAGGCGGTCAGGTGCAGGGTGCTCGGCTGACCACGCCGCGCATTTCGCGGGGTTGTGGGAGAGACCGATGCGGTCCATGGCCGCTGTGAAATTGAGGAACGCCGAGGTGCAGGCGTCCGGATCGCCGACGAAGGTGATGTCGTCGGCGTACGCGAGGCAGAGGACCTCGGGGTGGGCCGCGGCGGTTGTCTGGAGCGCTGGGTGGATGGCAGCTGCGAAGAGGAGGGGGCCCATTGGGTCCCCTTGGCGAACTCCCCGCGCGCTGAGTAGGGGTGGGCTGTCGAACTCAGCGTCGAGGTAGAGCAGGGACGGTGCTCCGTAGGAGAATTGTATGAAGGGGAGGAGCGGGCGCAGGGGCGAGGTGTTGATTGCGTGGATGATGGCCGCGCGGTCAACGCTATTGAAGGCGTTTGAAAGGTCGACTTGTAGGATGAGTGAGCCCGGGCGCGCTGAGGTAAAGCCCCTGGTGGCATGGATGATGGCTTCTCCGCCGCTTCTGATGGCCACCCCGTATTGGTGTGGTAGGAAGTAGTCTTGCGCGGAATGCGTGGCGGAGATTAGCGCGGATTTTGCTGCTAGCCGGTGGAGACATTCTCCTATTGCGATGGGGCGGGTACCCCCATCGGGCTTGGTAAGGGCCAGGAGGCGTGAGGAGGTACCGAGTTGGCTGACCTCGTGCGGCAGGTTACCCGCGAGTAACCGGTGGACGAGCTGGTGAAGATTTGTGGCGACGGTGGGGTTGGACAGCGAGGCATCGCGAAGGTGCTCGAAAGTCATCCCCGAGGGGCCTGCCCCAACTCCATTTTCGGAGCGAGAGAGCAGCTTCGCGAACGTAGCGAAATCGACTGTCGGTGGCCTGCAGTTTTCGTCGAGCCGTGGCCAGGTGAGGTTTTCGACAAGCGGAGGGGGGTGTTTTGACTTCAGCACGTCCAGGACCGTGGGGGTGGACTTGCTGACTGGGGTCGAAGTCAACGCGAGCAGTGCCCGTCGCAAACTGCCTCGTCGTACCAAGCCCTCGGCGCGGGATATTTTCCCGAGAGTGTCAGGTACGTGGCGGGGAGGGGGTGGCAGGGTGACAGCAGAGGCAGCTGCTTGATACAGTGTGTCCCACTGGCCCGCGAGAAATTGTCGAAGTCGTCGTTCCGTCGCGGGCCAGTCAGGGCGTCGTGGCGAGGGTAGGCGAAGTGTGAGGCGCGGGAGGTAAAGGAACAAGATCCAACCCTCGATGGAGGTTGGATGTTTGGCGAGGAAAAGGAGAGGTGTCAGAAGGGCGAGCGCGAAAAGTTGGCGGATTTGGGGGGTAACCGGCGGGAGAGAGGGGGTTGGCGACTGTCGCAGAGAACTGCGACGTCCCAAGTGGCGATGACGGCGAATCTGGAGGGGTCATTCGCCAGTTCTTCCGGGGACAACTGCTGGGCTGCCTGGGGGTGGGTGTCCAGCGGTGCCCGAGTATTGTGCAAGCGGCTGGACCCTCGTCCCCTGGATCTGGGAGATGGGTCAGTCTCTCGTCCTCCAGCGCGCCTGTTTGTTTCGACGTTTTCCTCCTCGCTGGAGGTTGCAGTCGTGGGTCTCCCTGGTCCCCTGGTATATAAGTTCCGTCCGCCCGTTCCTCCTCATCAGTTGTTCGTTGCAGTTCCGAGGCATTTAAAGCCCTATTCGCTGCCTGCTGGAATCCGTTCAGTGGTCCTCCATCGGAGGACAGATTGCCACGCCTTGCCGCCCCGCGACCGCGCCCTCCGGCCGTCCGTGCGTTGAGTCTTCCGCGACCGCCTCCGTGGTTTCCTCTCGGGGCGGCCCTGGTCATCGTTCGGCTTTCGTGCCGAGTCGTGGGGGGTGCCGAGTGCGGCGCGCCTCCTCGGGATGGAGCGACCAGCGCGGGAGCGTTCTGCCGATTTGGAGAGTACTGGGGACAGCAAGTCGCCCCAAGGTCGGGCGAGTCCTCCAGCGCCGTCGAGCCGGGATTGGGAGCGCGGGCTCCTCGGCCCCTCGACGGCTCGCCGACAGACTCCCGAGCGGATGCGGGGGCAGTCGCGGGGCAGGACTGCCGCGCCCCCGAGACACGAG